CTCTCGTGTTTTCAGAAAACAAGTCGCCATGATACAAACTCTGCTTTCTCATCCACTTTGGTTAGGTATTGCGTGACAACCAGCTAATTTGCATATAAGGAATAGTGGTTTCCTTGACCTTAGCTCTATGAACCTAAAATATTTTTCCTTTATGATTTTCAAATAAAATTACTAAAAGCGTTTGTGTGAAGGTTTTGAGGAAACATTTAAGCAAATTTTAGAGCTGTGAATATTTTTTCGGTCAAGCGAGTGATCGTTCAAGTAGATAAATATATGATACTTATAGAGTCAGAGTTATTTTTGTAAACAAAGTGCCATGATGGCCAAAATTACCTTCTCACCGCTAAGTGTGCAGGCGGATACCCGCAGATTTGACCTTAGAACCTCTTAAAATGAAGTAAGGCCTTGACCTTGATATAAATTTTATATCAGATTTTTGTCCTACAATTAAGATTTTAGCTCTCGAGTCTGAGCATGTTTTTTGGCAGTAGGGTGACCTGCTCAGAGTGGTGTCTTTCGGGACTTACAGATTGTCTGCAAAATTATTAAGAAATTCGATATTTTGCTCATTTGTCAATAAAAGGCAGTGGAAACAGCTGGTGTGAAAGATATTTTATAATTCGTTTTAGTTTTGTTATGGCGCGGCCCTCAAAAACGACAAATTTCAGTCCTCAAACCGGGCTCTGGAGGAGACGAATTGGCCCGGACGTGATCGCGCCTGTAGGAAAGCGGAAATATGTTATTTGCAAAAAAGAAAATCATTTTTATTACTTATATACCAAACCCTTTTAGTGTACAAAGTTTAAAGGGAAACTTTTTTCTGACGCAAAATCAACCGGACCGCTGTTAGCGGGACTGCCTCTTAAAACAGCGTAAAAACAGTTGGAAAATACATGAAAATACACTTTGACATTTAGCCTGTTTAGAAAAATTGTGAACTTGTCCATTAGGAACAATACTTTTTCCTCTTTCTCTTCGTTGCTAATAGACAAATTGTAATATTTCACCTTTTTGTGTTGTGCTGAGGTCTGATTGCCAGATGGTGGTGTTGCATTTAAGGTATCTGCACCGGCAAATTTTCAACATTTTTTTTGTCCTTAAAAGTTTACCACCATTGAGGTTTAGTTATGTAATATGCATATCCAGTGTTTTTTTTAAAATTTTCTTCGCATAAAAGAAAAAAACGCCTGAAAGTTGCTGGACTTACCGGAAGTGGAGAGAGAAATTTCCATTTCCGTTTCTAAGGAAATTGACCACCGGAGATTGCAGCAGAGTAATTTGACTCCTATCCGGCAATTTTTCCATTCACGCCTGTTTCCCACAGCAAAGATGCCTGCCGGTTTGCATCGTGAGGCTTCTCTTCTAAATGCAGAATTTGAGCGCTACGGGTAGGTATATTTCATTCTGGTCTTCCCAATTTGATATAGTGTGTGGTTTTTAAACAGTTTCTTTAGCTTTTTCTACCATTTTTACGTTTAGATTAGGACAAAAACACCCGAAGGCCTTGCCAACCTCATTTGCACGGCAGAAAGAAAGCCTTCAGAGACGGCCGCATAAATGCAGCATAGAGTTTACTCCCGACTCTACAGGATAATGTGGGTGAGTGACTACCTGTTAAATGTTAAATTCCATATTAGTAAAAAGTGACCCTTAATTTCTCCTGTTCTTTTTTGGTCCGTTCGTTTTATTAGATGGTACTTGCACAATATGACCTGGTAGGAAAAATGAAGCGAGCCAAATGTGGCAAATCCCTCCAGCGCGTCAACGTAAATAAGTAGCAAGTCTATGTAAAGATTTACTACGAACTATTTTTGATTATTGAGCTTGGAAACAATATTAGAAATGTGTTAGTAAATTTTCTGACGTATTTTTCTCTTTTGTTTTCCAGTATGGTTGCAAAATCGGCAAGGGTAAATTGACAGGCGGGCAGCCCACATTCGTTTTCCCCGAATGTATAAAGAAGGTTGTCCGGGCAATTGTGGGCGAAAACATCAAGGACTACGAGGACCCAGTCAGGTCTCATGTAAGTTTATAATCCTTGTCTTATAATTGTTGTATAAAGCCATAATTCATCAGCTTGCATTCTGAACATCCATTTCAATCACGGGTTTGTGCTTGTGCAAGAAGCGAAGAGAAACAAGTACCTGCAAGCACTAGCACTTAAAGAAACTATGATCAGAATGACAGGAGCTTTAATAAATTGTTGACAACTTGTGTTCATTTTATTTTTTAGGTGTATCATATCACCCTCCAAGATCTTGTGAATACAAAGTGGCCTACAGCAAAGAAGGGAAAATCCAAAAGCAAGAAATAGTTTTTGATCTTTTTTCTTATAATATTTACAATACAAAGGATGTTGCACAATAAACAATTATTTTCGTATCATAGTCTTCATGATTTTTTTCTTTACCTACAACTGACACTAAGGCTGTTACAATAAGATGGAAATATTGTGCATTTGGATATACGTTGTTCTGTGAAAATACCACAATGTAAAGTG